CCCGCAGGGCGGGCCACCCTCCCAGCCTTGAGAACCAGAGCCCGGAGGCCTCTTGGAAGAGCCTCCTTGGGGCGAAGTGAATCGCACCGGGGAAAGCAGGATGGCAAGGTGGATGGCTGGAGACCGTGGTCCTCCTGGCCCCCGTGGTCACGGCTCCATGTCCACTTGGGGCACTTGGGCTCACGAGCAACGTCGATTCTCAATTCTCCACTCCTAGAGGCTCAGAATCGGGCGCTGCTGGGGCTCTCCAAACCGCCCGGCTCGGGTCTGTGAGGTGGCCCAGCTCCGTGCTCTGCACCCAGGCGGACACTGCCCGAGGACCCGCGGGCCCCCACACCGGGAGGGCCACACGGCCTGGCCCACCTGCAGGCTTGGAGGCTCCCCTCTTGCTTTTTGTTTTGAACTACTAAGCGTCCTTTCTTATCTTGGGCTTCTGAACCCCAGCGTGGGGCATCTCAGGCCCCAGTCCCTCTTGGCTGCACCAGATGCTAATTCCGATGGTAGAAACGCCTTCAGAGTGGCTCCTGCCCCAGTGAAAGAAAAATAAAAGCCCAGTAACGAGACCGGCAGACAAACCCAAGTGCTGCCTGTCTAAGGTAGACCAGACACCGAGTTTACATCTGACAAGTAGAGTGATCACAGAGCTTAAACCCATCAGCTGGGGCACGCGGAAGCATGGATAATTGATTCCGTGGGCCATTCTGAGGTTTCCATTTTAATAACTTGGCAAGAGAATGTTTATTAGTTGTGCTCCCAAAGAAATTAAGGCATTTTTCAGGTGACCACCAGCCCAGTTGTCAAAACCCGTCCCCGCCCTGTTCTGACCTCCCTTCAGACACCGGAGGAGGAAGGAGCGGCTCACAGCTGCTCCCAGGAGGAGAGGGGAACCACGGAGTGCTCCCAGGAGGAGGGTAAGAGGGGACCGCGGGGTGGTTCCAGGAGGATTGGGGCACGGAGTGTTCCCAGGAGGTGGGTAAGGGCGGGGGCCGCGGAGTGCTCACCATTGTCG